TTACCCTCTGAGGATAGGACAAGAAGCAATGGGCTTAAATTGCAGCAAGGGCGGTTTAGGTTTGACATTAGGAAAAACTTCCTGTCAAAGTGGTTAAGCACTGGAATAAATTGCCTAGGGAGGTCGTGGAATCTCCATCATTGGAGATTTTTAAGAGCAGGTTTGACAAACACCTGTCAGGAATGGTAGACAGTACTTAGTCCTGCCTTGAGTGCAGGAAACTGGACTAGATGACCTCTTGAGGTCCCTTCCAGTTCTATGATTCTAAGTAACTGATCAGAACATGCAGGAGAAAGAAACACAGGCACAAGGATGGATTTTAAAGCAGAAGGCTGAAATGTTATTAACCTTTTTTAACTGTAATCTCTCCTCAATTCACCCCAAAACAAAACATGTATTTGGGTCCAGTGCAGTGTTAAATGGCCTCATGCCAAATAACCAATATTCAGGGTTGGCCTCTTCAGACTAACTAGGATTCAATTCACCTCTGAATATACTCATTTTCTCACTGCAAAGTGTAATGTGGGCATTAATGAAAGGAACCTTAATCTATGAATACTAAATGTCTCCCCTTCTTGCTCCATGGTCCCCAGGACATTTCCTGGGTCTCTCAGTCATGTCTACCTCTGGGAATCATCCTCTGAGAGCCTCTCATCTGCACAGGACACCAGCTGCAAGTGGTGACTAAATTATGAACTCCACTTATAAACTTACAACTTTTAAACACTGTTCTTATGCCTTATTAACCTTAAACCAGGCCTCTGGGATGCTGCAAGAGAGGTGGAAAAACCTAACAAACACCTCATCAGTCTTTCTGGGGGACGGAAGGGGGAAATTCCTTCCTGATTCCCAAAACTAGTGATCGCACAGACCCACAACATCATAGTTCAAACTATACCTCCATTATAGGGCAGAGGGCAGAGCAGCTAATGTGGCAGAATGGCTGCTACTTACTCTGAGGGTGTCACATACTGCAAGGCACGAGGGGAAGAGCACAAGAGAATAAACTCTCCCTTGTCCACCAGAGACTAGGCAATAGCAGAAGGGAGAGGTAGAATCTCTCTTCTCTTTCCTTGCTCCACTTCTCACCTAGGCACAATCTCAATGTGTATTCTGGACAGGGGAAGAGTAGGGCCCAAAACAACTGAACTTGACCCTCTAATTCCCCCCGCTCCTCTCAGGACTCCATGGGTTGTCTTTCCCCTTTTGGTCTGATCAAACATTGCCCACCTCACTGAGACAGGGGACCTTTCAGGAAAGTGTATTTAAATTGTTTGTACAAAATCATTAGTTTTGCAGAAGACAAATTTACAAATATTTTATTTTTTATAGTTTACCATAATCACAACAGAATTTCAAAATATTCTGCTAAAGGCATTTGAAAATTTGACATGGCTAAATCCTTATTCAGTTTTTTCTCAAGCAAACTTTAATGAAATTGACTCTACAAGAGTTTGCCTGAGTAGAAACTGAGTTAGAAACTCAGGAGATGGCCCACAAGTAGTAAAAGTGTATTAAGAAGATTTTGGGAATAGGAGAAATAAACAAATTGCATGGCTTATATATTCCCTCCGATGGAAAAACATCTGGAAGGTGAAAATTTACTTGGAAAGAGCTGTGAAAAGACGTAGGTAGCACCACATCATCCTCTCAATTACGTGCATTGGGCTGCCTGTTGAAGAGCAGTAGATATGACTTTGTAGGCTGAGATTCAACCTGTAATGTCTCAAGCCATCTTCTAAATCACAGGGTGTCCACAGCAGCTCTATGCTTCCCACCTCCGGAGGAAATCCAGGCTCCATTGAAGTCAATGGGAGTTTTGTCATTGACTTGAATGGAACCAGGATTTCACCTCAGATGTATGGTTTGCTCCCTTACTGTGTTGCTATAGTTCCCTATCAGTGGTTTGGCCCTTCAGCATGGTCCACAGGCTACTTCCATCTATCAAAGTTCTTACAAGGCCACGTATCATCATAGTACCTGCCTTTCGTGCAGCAATCTAATTACACTTGAAAAGGATTTCTTACATTTCATGAGCACAGTTTGGGGTAGTGAAAGAGATATATGGTCTACAACTTTGGACGGGAGACTCCTCCAAACTACACACAATCACAGCCCCACATTTGGGCAATGTGCTGTACTCCTGGAGATATCCTGTGCTGCTACTCCTGCACGATAGTTTCGTGGTGGGAGTATGCTGCTTAAACATTGGTAATTATTGCAGGAAACTGGCTACCTGTTCTCCTTGTAAATTACTCCAAGTGATCCCCACTGTTGCATAGCAGAGGGGAACGTGTGGATCAGTGCTTGCAGAAATAGATAGTTTTGAACACCGTATTTTGGTTTCCCTACACAGAGATTTTTGCACATTCACTGTGACAAATATCTGCCTAAACTAAAATGATTACAGTCTGAATATTTCACAATTGTTTTAGAAAAAGTAGATGTAAAAAATAGTCAAAAGATAGATTTTATAAAGTGCTTTTTTATTATGCATTGTCAACAGTTAAATGATGTGTTGCTGTTTCATGCAAGCTAGAATAATGGTAAGATAGCAAAAACATACTATGCCATAAAAGTGTTAAGGATAAAAAGTGCTAAATCTGAATAAGATTGTACAGTTTTAAATCTAAAACTGAGAAGCTGGTTTATCTAAAATTATTTTTGAAAAAAAAAAAAAAAAAAAGTAAAATAACCTCTGTTTTACTCCTGTTTTCCTGCATCTTGAATATTGTCCCAATTCTACATGTGATGTTCTTCTTCATGTCATTTCCTACATTTTTACACACCTTACTTTTTGCTGTCATGCAACATAATGCACAGTAAACATCTCAGTGCTCCAAAGGGACATGACAATTTCAGGGAGACAGCAAAATGATATAATTTCCATTATTATTTGCCCACTGGTTGTAGCCCCTATTTTATTATTATTCCATTTCAAACCAAGTATTTCATGATGTTGCTAGGAACATACTTTTCTAATAAAAGCTAACTTTTATGATAAAAATGTACATAATTTATCATGGAGAAACAGCTTATTTACTTATAGAAATAGCAATACATGAAAAAAAATTGTAGAAATATTTTTCCTTATTCTTCTGCACACCAGGTGCATTACTTCTTAGTTCATTACAAATGATAAAGAACAATGTTGAATTAATGCATGTATCAGCAGGATAGCCATATTTTAAAATATTGCCTGCAGCATAAAGAATTGTAGAAATACAAATCATTTGCATCCTGAACTGAAAAAAACCCATCATATTTTTGACTCTCCATTGACTGAAAGATAATGTAAGCAAAAATAAAATATGAATAATTGGTGATATATAATACAAATACACATTCATATATAATCTCTGTATATTAAGTTCCTTAAGAAGTGCCATAGAACTGGATTACAGAAATGCCTAACCCACTAATTGTAGACATAAATAATATTTTACCACATACTTTGTGAGTGACAATTTTAGCTGATCATTTGTTTTATTCATAATCATTATAGCATCTATTTCTTTTGATTTGCTCTTCTACGGTGAGATAATCAGACTGGACTTTATCTCCTTGAGATGCTGGAACAGCTATATATCTTGAGCTCAGTAAATCTAAACTTGTGCTTGTGCCATTTGCTGACACTTCCTTTATTTCATCTTCTTGACAGATATTGATATCATGTAGTTCCATATCAGAATTCCCATGTTCTTTTGAATATGGACTGGAAGCATTTTTAGTTATGTCTACAGAATCTAACAGACCTAAGTCTAAGAACATGTCATCTTTTTCAGGAAAGGAAGGTGTTTTCACATTATCACATAAAGTAGTATTTAAGCTATTGTCATTTTTTGATTTTTCCCCAATGTTTAGCAACTTGGTATCAAAAGGGAATGCTGTATTAGTGGTTTCCTTTAAAACTAATACGTTGCTGGTACAAGATTTTTGACAAGTGGCATTTGTATTAATTTGAACAAGACTATATGAGGTAACTTTATCTTTGGAGTTTTGTTTCTCAAGTGCAATGTTTACAACATCTCTAGAAGAGCTCTCTTGAAATTCAGGTATACCAATTAGTTCTGCATTTCTTGGTTGATTTTCTAGCTTTTCAAAAGCATATTCAAACATGGTGTGATTTGCATGGCTTAATTTTGTTACGGGATTAGGTATAACTGAGAGAGAGGTTTCCTGTCTACAAATGTTCAAGTGTGAAAAAGTTGTATAATTATTATTATTATTGTTACTCATATTAAACTCTTTATGATTATCTTGTACTGTCTCCTTATCAATGTTAGTAACCTGTAAAACTTCTACACCATCAGATTCATGAATTTTTTCATCTCGCTCCTTCTCAGCACTCTGAACAACTACATTATGTTCCTTTCCACTATCCTCTCTATTCTCTGATCCTTCTGTTTCATTCATCTTATCTTCCACATTCTCATTTTTTTCATCTATTTCCTTACTGCCTACTTCAGTTATCTTTGCTACATTGAAATTTATAACTTCTTCTCTCTCAGACATAGAACTAAAAGATGACTGTTGGTTTTGTTGTGAGTCAACAATGTCATCTTTCTTTTGTTCTTCTTTCTCTCTGAGATCACTATGGGTATTTTCTAGCTGAGGTTCATTTTTGTTGCCCAGAGGTGTATTTGTGTATGTTCTGGACGCTTCTTGTGCAAAACCTTCTGGGGGCCACTTTGGCTTATTCATTTTAACCTCCTCTTCAACAGAAAATGTTTTTTGAGGGAACATAACATGATCTGTAGAAGGAGGCCATGTAATCTTTAATTTGCCTCTTTCTGTAGATCTTTTCAAATTGTCATCCAGAGTTTCAGAATGCACATATTGAATATCTGAATGCAAGTCTGGTTCAATTTCTGTATTAAGCTTAGATATGATAGTTGTCTCATTACTTGGATTTACCTCTTCAGCATGAACATTGCCAACTGAGCTTGTTTGGTCTTTGGAACTCCATAATTCTTTGTGTTGCTTGTGTCCAAAACCTTCATCATAATTTCCTTTAGACTTGAAAAGTTGCTTAAAATGGGGTTTACAGTATGATTGTCCATGGAGAGATGCATAATTTCCCAAGCTGTCAAATGGAAGAAAATTTGTTTGATAGCATCTATAGATCTACCAAGAATAAATACACCAAGAATATTCAATTTTAGTTGACCTGATAAGTACTCAAAAATTACAGTATCTATAGATATCTTTATGTATATTTTAGCAAAGAAACAATAACATTTATTTTTAATTTTAATGCATGGGTCTCACCAGAAAAAGGATCTTAAGTATTTGAAACTTTATGTATTGTAAATTCCTATAAAAACTAAAAATTTTGGTAGCAAGAACCTCACTTTTATATCATAATGATAATAATTAAAATATATAAATGGATGATTATTTCCTACAGCTATAGAAACACTTTACAGTAAATGGACTAAACTTAATGAAAGTATAGGCTGCCAAGAGGAATGATCCCTAGCACTTTATGTTTATGCTTTTTTAAAGTTCATGACAGTTGCTAGTGTGTATGACAACCACTGAAGTCCTCTTTATTTTCCTACAGAAGAGGTGGAAAACATGCAGTACCGTCCAAGCTTCTCTACACTTCTCTATTAGCACACCTCAGTCCTTTTCTTGGATGACAGGATTTATTCATATGCATGTTTACTTAGGCTTGGATCCTGCTCCCAATGAAGTAAAGGGAAAAATTCCTATTGACTTTAGAAGTACAGGATCAGATCTATAATCCTTGCCTGGAAGACCTCCCAGGTCTCTTGACTACTGATCCAAAGCTCTATCTGCTGGTTAGCATTGATAGGAACACGGTTGCCAGTTACAGCGGTACTTGCACCTCAGAAGCAGATTTTCTGTGAATGAATTGATAGTTCCTCCTTACCTTAACTTACTGCCGCAGTGGTGACATCGGAAACATGATTTATGAAAGATTTGCTTGTCGACAACTAGACATTCCATTGGATAAACTTTCTTTTGACAAAGTATGCATGTTTCCTTTTCCTGAAGTTGCAGTTTCTAGAAACAATATTTTATAAAGGTCATATATCGGTCCTCAGCCATGTGTTAGAATTTATTTCTAAAAGATGTCACTTTATCAGTCCATGCACAAAATGAATGGTTTATATGGAAAGCTGCAATGCTGATTTTTGTCAGTTCATCCACGAATTGATAAGTAATCTACAAATTTTAGGGATAAACTATAATTCAACTAATTGTAATACTTTGAAAGCAAAAACTTGTTCATTTTTTCAGGTGAGTAGTTTCATGAATTTTAATAGGACTTCACTTCAGGAAGCCAAGCAGAATTTTGCCCTTTGTATGTAATAAACATTTTTTTCTTAAAGTGAGATGGTATCATAAAAAGGAATGTTAAGTTGGATTGAGTATGTTTATATAGAACCCACCTCTTTGAATCTGCAATGTCATTTAGAGATATATACGCAGAGGGTGAATGTTTGAAACTGTGATTAGAAAGCTTTGCTTAATTATGCCAGAAGCACATCAAGGAACTCCATTACTGCATTAACCTGAAAACTACATGCACATATGTTGCAAATATGATAGGGATATAATTATTTGAGCTTTTTACAGTTTTCATTTTCATGGCTGGTATTTTGTTCAGTTAATTTGCAAGAGAGAATTAGCTACAATACTGATATTAGCTAATTATATCAAATCCCTTCTTTTATGAAGCATAATTGATTGTAAAGGAAACTAGCTATACTCCAAAGTACAAAGCACCAGTAGAAAGTTTATTTCAGGAAGGTGAGGGGCAGGAAGAGAGGAAGATAACAGACAATCTGCTGGGCTTGAGAAAGCTACACTGCTATTCTGTCTTGATTTATGAATTGCTATAACATGCATGAAATCCATGTTAACAGGCAAATACAAATAATACAGCATTAGAGTGGGATAAATTCTCTGCTGATATAAATGGTGCTGCTCCATTATCATCCGAGTTCTGCACCCATTTACACCAGCAGAGAATGTGGCCCGCTCCCATATTATTTGTATTTGCCTGCTAGTACTGATTTTATAGCAATTCATAAATCAAGACAGAACAGCAGTGTAGACTATACAACTGTGCCTATATCTCCTAGAGCTGTGCAAAACATCCAAGGAGAAATTAAAAATCTTCAAAATTTGCTTAGAAATTACCTGAATGCAAAATTTTCCCCATAAGTGAATAGACTAATCAAAGTTGATTGTGAAGTTCTCTTTGTACTCATGTCCCTAAAAATTTCAAGGCACTCTTTGTAGTACAGTCTGGATTTAGTTTCCTGTTGTTAGCCTGAGGGGAAGGCAGATGGTTGAACTCACACAGTATTTTGACAGGTTCCCTGACTGTCTGAGGGATGTACACACGTGGAGCTGGGGTGTGCAATTCCCAGCTCAGGAGACATTCCCATGCTAGCTCTGAGCTAGCAGGTTAAAAATAGAGCTTAGCCATGACGGCATGAGTGGTGGGCGGGGCTATCTGCCCCAAGTATGTATTGGTCCAAGATGCTAGGTATGTACTCAGAGTGGCTCGCCCCTCTCACCACTCACACTGCTGTAGCTATACTCTGTTTTCAGCACTAGCTTGATCAGAGCTAGCCTGGGTATGCCTCCTCAAGCTGGAAATCACACCAAGTGTAGATATACCCTATGCCTTAGAAATATATACCTAAGCTAGAGACAGTGAGTATACTAAGGCTATGTCTTCATTGTGCAGTTAACCCAGGAGGCAGGTATCCTGTCTGAGCACCATGGTTAGCCTAGCATGGGTGTGAGCAACTACACTGCAATATAATATAATTAACTTAAAGCAGCTCCAAATTTGGGTCAGCGGTTTTTCTGTGTGGGTGGTAGAGAAGGTTGGGCTAAAATACAAGTAAGACCCAAATTAACTGTGCAGTGAAGACATTTTTGATTTATTTTCCCAGGCCTGGATGGAGCACTGAAGCCATGGGGAGCCAGGCCTCTGTGGGAGAAGAAAGTGTCTCACAGTGGCAGGGCCCTTAGAGAGGAGAGGAAGGGGATATTTCCCTCAGAACAATGGACAGTAGTGTGAAAGTGACATTTTGCATTTTTGTATATTTCAATGCAAGATAAAATTTCAGGGTATGAATTCGCCCAACATAAAATGGCAAAAGTTTTCACATTAAATTTTGTAAACAACTTCTTTACTTTTGCACACATTTAATTAAAACCTACCCTAAACAAAACTCATTTTGTTCAAATTCAAGTTTTGTGATTTAGCAAACTTAGAACAGATGCATATAAAACATGCAGATTGTTATACCATTATTGCTATGTTGGAGTGCATGCAAACACAGCAGTCACTTAACTATTTATCTCAGTTAAAAGCACAATGCCAGCTATTTGCTGCTGTAAGAAATGAAATGCGTTCTATACATATTTTTGTTCCAATACTAACTCAAATGCAATATTTACCTTGGCAAGAAAGTCCTCAAAACTCAACATATCAGTATTTGTTAGTCACACACTCAGCACATCACTTAAAGTGTTTGGAAAGGGAAAATGATTAAAGATTGCTGAGAGAAAGAGAGAGAGAGCAAAAGTGAGGAAAAGTTTGTTAGTTTTATGTTACTTTGTTCTTTGATTATCAACACACTTTTCATTAATTGCACAATATACTGAGGTTGAATCATTTTTTTTAACAGTTGTTAAGGTTTCTTCACACTTTGCATGCTTATTTACCACTGATAAATGCTGATTCCTGGTGGAAGCTACTTCTCACTTCAGCTTCAGAAGTATCTGAGACCGTGTAGCCAAGACTATTAAATACTCTTTCACTTTCCTGCCACGTCTTCTGAAAATTCCTTAGTAGTTCTTCTGGTGAATCAGTAGCAGAAATATCCAAAATGTGTCCTGAGATTACATCTTCATATGTTGGAGGTGCATGCTTGAAGCCAAATCCTGACTGCCTACCATCAGCACTTTGTGATGTTGATTCAGTGACCGTGTTGGCAAATCTATCCAGACCAGAAGCGTGGTCGGTATGATACTTTGCTTCCAAGCAAACCAGGGGTTCAAATGAGTGCTCTTTATCTTCACATTGCTTTTGTTTATAAGATATACCTTCCTTTGGGTCTCTTGGCTGCCTATAAGGAGAGTTTCTAAAGGTATCTTTTCGCTTTTGATTCTCCAGAGATGTCAGTACAAATTCATCCTTGCTAAATGTGTGTCTGTCTTGTTTTATTTTGCTATTCATTCCACCCCTTTCAAAAACTCTTTTCTTTGATTTCACATCAAATCCTGGATTGTCCTCTGATTTCCCTAATAACATATCCATTTCATCTACACTCTCATAGTCTACTCTTTCAACTACTGTGACTGGTTCCTTTTTTGTATGTCTTATTTGCTCAGATGCTTCAAACCTACAAGTAAGCCCTGACTGGTCAATCTTAGGGACCTTAAAACTTACTGCATGTGGCTTTAAGCATTCTGGAATGTTTACTGGATCTTGGTGCACGTCGTTGTTTTTCTCTGCTTTTCTATTTTCTTCGTGTGTTTCTTTTATGTCCTTTACTGTACCAGCAGTTACCTGAGATTCATTTATAGTTGCTGAGGATGAAGGCTCCATCATAGCATGTGTTTCAATTTTAATTTGTCTACGAAGAGTTGCAGGAGATTTAACAATCTCTGATCTTTTTTCTACAACTGGAACTGATGTTACTGACCAGTGCTGTGTTACTCCTTGAGATAGCTTTGCTGTGGTGCCTTTCAATTTGGCCAGTTGTTCAGAACGGCTCCTTGGAGGAGAGGGGGAAGAGGCTGGCCTTCGAATTGTAGATGTTGGTGTTGCAGATCTGCGTGGTGGGGGAGGAATAGGAGTACTTTTTCTTTGGATGGCAGATGAATAGAGTGCTTCCTTCAGAGGAGATTCTGTCCGTTTAGATTCAATTGTTATATAAGTAGGTGATGGCGATCGCATTCTTAATGCTGGAGAAGAAGTTCTGAATTCTGTTTGTTTGATTCCACTGGATTGCTGTATAATTTCACGGTGCACTGATTCTTCCTTTATAACCTCTTTCGTTTGGTGCGAATCTCTTCTGTTGGAGCCAGTGCTGATTTTTGATATTTTCTGTGACAAGCCTCCAGAACTAACAGAGTCATTTCTGGATTTTACTGTTTTTGTGGACATCATAGCTGTTTGGATCGTGTCTTCACATGAGGCTAGTATTTTGACTGCTTGATCTTTAATATCTGATAGCTCTTCTTTCATCCTTTCTAAATTATTTTCTGTTGCAATATGAACTATATTTTTCTTTCTTTCTTGGTCTATAAGCCATACTGGGATATTATTTAAAAATGTCTGAAATGCTTTCATACCATTTTTATTTGGCTCAGCTTCAAACTGTTTCACTCTAGACAAAACTTGCTGCAGTTCCTCCCGTTTCCTTAAGAATTCTAATATATCGACTGCAAATTTTTCATCGTTCAGCTGTGATCCTTTTGATGGAGGAGAAAATAAAGGTTTGTTCTGTGTAATCTCTTGTTTTGGATCTGTTTTCTTCGGATGTACTTGTTTTAGTTGTATGCCCTTGTCTTTGGCACATTTGCTTTCTTGCAATCTATTATATTGCTGGGATAACTTTTTATTTTGAACTTTATTTTCAGAAACACACACATTCTTTTGCTCAACAATTTGAGTCTGAGAGTCATGACGTGTATCAATTACCTTTTGCCTGACTACTTTCTCTGTTGATTTATTCTTAAACTGACCTTGTTTTTCTGGAATTGTTACTTTTTCTTCTTTTGGACAAACTAATACCTGGCCCTGACTTACTACTTTAGCCACCGAGACTTTCTCATGCTTGAATTCTCCTTTTTCTGTTTCTTTCTCATTAACTAATTTTTGTTTCACTTGACTGGCATCTTTTTGGCTTACTTCTTGCATATTCTCTATGTGTTCTAAAGGTGTTTTTTCTCTCACCACCTTTCCATCAACATGCTTCTGGTGATATTCTTTTGCAACACTTTGTTTTTTCCTAGCGTTAGTACTTATGTCTTCTCCCTGTTTTTCCTGATTTTGTTGTTTGACAACATTTTGAACATTAGTTCCCTTTTGTTTTTTGTGTGTCTCAGAATCTTTGTGTGTTTCATGTAAGCTTTGATCTACAATTGGAAGCTTGATAGTTTTAACTTTGAAATGAGGGGAGATAATTTTATTTTTGGACACGTGCAACTGCTCCACATTCTTCAGCTGCTCTGCCTTATGCAAAGTATGTTCTTGATGGATTTGTTCCATTTGACAAGATAAATTATGTTTTGTAAGATCCTTTGAACCTTGCAGTACTTTTTTTCTAATGTGATCTTCTGCTGAGCTTTCTAAAATGTTTTGAAGCTGCTCAGTAGCTGATGATACTACTAATGATGCAGACAGTTGTTTACCTCGAGATCCTGTTGCTTGTAAACTGACTTGAAAGTCAGAATCAGAGGGTGTTGTTTTTTGTGGAGTTACAGAGGGAACTGAACCTTGTAAAGGAGTTTGATCCTGCTTGCTTGATTTTTTAAATGGTACACAATTTTCTGACTCTGTTTGAACTGGACTTCCCCGAGTCTCGCTGTTTGTTCTGACAGTCTCATGACAAAAACTTTTGACTTGCACTTTCTCCATCTCCTCCCTTTGCTGTCTGTATTTTTCTTCAGCAATCATTAAAGGGGTTTTAAATTTTCTAACATAAGGTTTAGGTTTTATTTGTGTTGGCTCTGCTGGAAGGGAAGGAGATCTTTTAAGAGGAAAGACCACTCTTTTCTTGGCCAGTGGTGTCTCTTGCAGAGCTTTGGGTGGAGGATTAATCACTTCTGAAACAGATGATGGCCTTTTTATCCCTTCTGTTTTTGTATGAGTTGTCTCCTGTTTCTGTTCATGGCTAACCACATTCACAAGAGCTGTGGAATTTTTGCTTTCTCCCACTGCTGTGGTAATATCCATTTCTCTGTGTGTCTGAAGTACAGTTGGTTCAATTTTTGGAGGTGTTTTAGACTTGTTAATGTCTAGCCCCTTAGAAGGTTCCATTTTGAGGAATTTCTTTGAAGATGGAACTCCAGCTGGTTTACCTGATAATGTTTTAGCCCTGGCATTAAATTGCAGTGGCTCAGGCACAGACTGTTCTGGATATTTTGGAAAATGTTCTTTCTTTTGCTTTGGCTGAGAAGTAGGAAAAATCACCAGGGGAGGTGGTGGGGGTGGAAGAGGGAGAGCAGGCAGAAACTCACTTTCAGATTTGTCATCTATTGGTGGTGGGGGAGGAGGAAAATGATCAAACTCAGCTTTGGTCTTGTGGATAGGTGATGGAGGTGAAGGAAACATATGTCTATCAGATGGCATCATTAATGGAGGTGGGGGAGGTGGCAGAGGAAATTCAATTTCAGATGATGCTACTGATGGTGGTGGTGGTGGAGGAGGAGGAGGTGATGGTGGTGGAGTAGATGAGGAATCTATTTCTGGCTTATCTTTCCCCACAGCATTCTTTGCTGGATTTAGAGGATTTTTCACTGCAAATTGGAAGTCTGACTTAGCAGGTTCCACTTTAGTCTTTCCTATAAACTGTCCTACAGATTTCTTATTTTGCTGATGAACATCTCTCTTTTGCTTCCTTTCAGTTTCTTTAAATTTATTGAGTGCTTCCTGTGTGACTTTTACTTCTTGTTTGTTGTTTATATTCTGTTCTGCTGTCATGGAAACTACAGCTTGCCCCAGCTGAACGTTTATTTCATTCTCTGCAAAAACCTCTCTAGAATGCTGAGCTTGTTTTGTTTCTTGCTTTATCACTTGCTTTTGAAAATGGCCAGTCGCCTTAGAAATCCCACTAGCCGGCATTTTAATTGGTTGTCGTGTAGTTCTGGATTTGGAGCTATCAACATCAGTTGACATTTTTGCCTTTTGTCTTGTCTCTGTCTGACAGCTTAGGTTGGAATATTCATTGTCTTTATGCTCATGAAGTAGATTCTGTTTCTTTTCAGCTATTTTTTCTATGGACTGCACACTGCTGGTGGTGCTATCCTTTTTCAGAGCTCCACATGTCTCTGATTTCTCTGTTCTCACATCTCTCTTCACTTTACCACGGAAAGAAGACTGGCTGGTCACATGTTTTGCTTCTTTTTTTACATTGCCCTGGACTCTGCTTTTATCCATTGATTCATCCACTTTTTTGATGACCATGTGTTGAGAATTAGATAAGTTCTTTATATGTTTTTTATCTACATCAAGAGACTCAGTGCTCTGTTCTTGTTCTAAATGGATCTTTTTGGTACCTTGTCCACCTTCTTTGAGGAAAGCCTCATTTTCAGCATGTGTTTCCTCGTGATATTCATGGACAGATTTAACATTCTTCTGCAGATTATGTGACCTGTTACTTTGGAGCGGGGCTATATGCTGTGTCTGGATGGTGCTTTTTATATCTCCATGACCACTTACTTCATGTTGTACCATTTTCTTTTCCGCAGAGGCTTCTAGGATGTTTTGTCCAGCAGTCTGAATATCTCCTCTGATTACATCTTCTGTGTCTACATTCTTGAAAGACTGCTGAGCTTCTTTTAAAGATCTTAATGTTGATTCAAGGTCACCTCGAACAACCTCTTCTTTCAGAACTTCAATTTTTGTAGTTATTTCTTTTTCAAGGGAATCAATGGCCTGCTTAATATCACCAGGTATGACATCAGGCTTCTCTGTTTCTTTCAGTTGATGGGCTGATTCTTTAAGAGACTTCAGTATTGTGAGAATGTCGGCTTTTATAATTTCTTCCTTTTCTATAACTGTTCTCTGATTTATGGCCTGACTGAGGGAATTTAAAGTTGCTTTCAAATCACCTTTTATAATATCTTGTTTATTTACATTACAAGATGTATTTTTTGGCTCTGTCATAAAAATTTTAACTGCATTAGCCACATCTCCAGGGATGATGTCAGTTTCGTTAACTGTACGTTGAATCTGAAACTTCTGTTTCTTTAGTAACAGCTTTGTGCCTTCTACATCACCACCAATTATTTCCTCCTCCTCCTCCTCCGCCTCCTCCTCCTCTTGTTTCCTTGTTGTAATTGTTTCAGTTGACCCTGTCTGGAGTAGTTTCAGATAATCCAAAGCTCCGGATTCTATGCATGTTGTGAAAAACTGAACGTTTCCTCTCTCTGAATCATCTATTTTAGCTCTTTGGGATATTTCATTATTCACTGTGGAAGACAGAAGGTTGTGAATAGTATGTTTCACATCACCACCTATCACTTCATCACGCTGGATTTTATTGTCAGCCCTTTTGTGAAGGAGAGAATAGAGTGTCATGTTAATATCACCTCTCTCATTTTCCTGAATTAAAATTCCTCGTTTTACAGAACTATCCTGACTAAACAGGTTTTTTATAGCTTGCTGTATATCACCTCTCACTATCTCTTCTTTTTCAACACAAACATCTGTTGATCTGTTCAATAATTGAGCTTTGGTCAAATCGACATTGCCCTTTTCGTCTTCATTTACCATAATTTCTCTTTTGGTAATGCTTCTTCTGGACAACAGGTTCATCATTATGTTTTCTAGATCCCCTCTAATAATCTCTTCCTTTTGTATTTCAGGAGTCTCTTGATTCATTAGTTTATATTTTGCCATTCTGACATCTCCAATTTCATCTGCCTCAAGGATAATTCCATGATACTCAATGACTTTGTGAGAGTAAAGTTCTTTTAAAGTTTCTTTGATACTTTTCCCTATAATTTCTTGCTTTTCAACCTTATTTTCATTAAATTCAGGGAAAGGTGTCGTTTCAAAAAGCCATGTTGTTGTCTTTACATCTGACTGAGGAATTTCTTCCCTGGTTATTTTTATTTCACTTTCATCAGTTTCCTTAATGGAATCTAAAGGCTGGTTTTCAAAAAGCCACACAGCATGCTGAACATCACCTTCTTGCACATCTTCCTTCGTGACTGTCTTGATATCTTTATACTCTGACCCCTCTCCTCTAATCTCATCTAGAGTGTGTGTTTCAAATAACCAAGTGGAAGTTTTAACATTGCCCCACTGGATTTCACTGACACTTACTGTTCTTACATACATGCCTTTATTGAATCCTTCAGACTCAAATAATTGTTTGTTGGCCTTTACATCACCACCCTGGACACTGTCAATAGTTGGCACAATTAATTTTTCATCATCTGAAATTCTGTCCAGTGGTCGTGTTTCAAATCTGTATCTGACAGAGCTCACATCTCCTTTCTGAATATCTTCCTGGGTGACAGCTCTAATAACATACACATTATCTGATTCATTAATAGATCCTAAAGGTTTTGTTTCAAACAGCCACCTAGTCCCACGTACATCTCCATGAATCACTTCTTCCTTCTTAACTGTTGTCACTTCATGATAATACCCTTCTTTGTCTTGAATTGCATAAAGTGGCTGGGTTTCAAACAGCATTCTGTAGTTTTTCACATCTCCCTTTGTTATTTCTTCACTAACAGTTTTCTTGGTGGTGGTATCTGCAGTTCCATCTTTAATCTGGTCTAAAGAAAATGTCTCAAATATAAAGCAGCCTTTTCTTACATTCCCACCATGTATATCTTTAACAGTTCTGACTAATGTAGCACCTTCTTGGTTTTCTTTTATTGCATCAATAGAATGGTTTTCAAAAAGCCATCGGCAATGTAGAACATTTCCTTTCTGTATATCTTCACTTTGCACAGTTTTAATTTTTTCCAAAACTTCCTCTGAACTAAAATGTATGGAATCTAGTGACTGGTTTTCAAATTTATATTTCATGGTGGAAACATCCCCAGGCTGGATATCAATTTCCACTACTCGTTTGAATTCCTTTTCTTCTTCTCCTTGTATATTTTCTAGATTTTCTGTCTCAAAAAGGAAACATGCTGTGCGGACATCACTTCCTTGAATATCCTCCTGATTCACAGTGTGTAATTTCACTCTTGTTTCCGATTCATCTTTTATTGCATCAAGCGGCTGGGTTTCAAAGAGCCAAGTACAGGTTTTGACATCTCCTTTATGTACTTCTTCACTGTCAGTCACTATCTCAACCTTGTCATACAGTGATTCCATTGGCTGAGTTTCAAACAGCCATCTACACATTTTTACATCTCCTTTAATAATGTCTGTAGTCTGTTCTGTTTTACTTTCTTCACTTTCCATATTGCTAAAATATTTAATAGAATCAAGAGGCTGAGTTTCAAACAACCATTTAGCTGTTTTCACGTCACCTGATTCTACTTCTTGTGAAGATATTCCTTTGATAATCTGGATTTTTTTAATGCTCTCATCAAATTGGTCAACAGGCCTTGTTTCAAACAGCCATCTGCAGCTTCTTACATCACCTCTTAAAACTTCTTCTTGTCGAATTGTTTTAACTTCATGATATTTCCCAAGACTATCTTGAATTGCATATAATGGAGTTGTTTCAAAAAGAGCTTTATTCAACTCTACAGTTCCTCTCCTTATTTCTTCCACATGGATTTTATGTGATTCATCATATTTACTTAAATTGCTTGATTCAAATATATGTTTGCAGCTACTCACATCTCCTCTGTCAACTTCTTCAAGTTTCACTGTTGTTATAAATTCCTTTCTTTCTTCTCTAATCTGTTCAAGAGGTTTAGTCTCAAAAATCCATTTTTGATGTCTCACATCACCTTTTTCTTCCTCTGTGGCAACCACCTTTTGAAGCTTACCAACATCTGGGCTATCCTTTAAAGCATCGATTGGTAGTGTTTCAAATAAATGTTTAGTAGTGCTTACATCACCTCCTATTATTTCTTCAGGTGGCAGATGAGTTGTGTCATCATTATCTTTTAGGGTATCAAGAGGTTGAGTCTCAAAAATCCAGCATTTTCTACAGACATCAGCCCCTAGAATAGCTTCCTTCTCAGTGACAGATACTTCTGAGTCCTCCTTGATAGTATCCAAAGGTTGTGTTTCAAACACCCACTTTGCCTTGCGCACACCACCTTTGATGCTTTCCTCCATAGAGATTCCACGAACAACATTAATTTCCACAGAATCTTTGTTAATCATATCTAGGGGCCGCGTTTCAAACATCCAACGTGCTGTTCTAACATCTCCTTTTTCAATGTCTTCTCGGTGAACAGTTTTAATCTCCAATATTTGACCTAAGCTGTCTTTAATAACATACATTGGTTGAGTTTCAAAATGCTTTATGCTTCTCTTCACATCTCCTTTAATCTCTTTAAGCTCAGATTTGAGTTGCAGCAAGTTAACTTCATCCACTGAATATAGCTGCCCAAGTTTATCCAGATGCTGGGTTTCAAACATGTACCTCACAGTTTTGACATCACCTCCGGTAATTTCTTTAATGAAAGTTTCATCTTGTTCATTGTCATGATGAATTTTATTCATTGAATCTAATGGTTGGGTTTCAAACATCCACGTGGCTGTGCGGACATCTCCTCTAGCTAAATCTGGAATTTTGTCTGTATTTTCTGCAGAGTTTGAAGAATGTGTACCCAGTGCATCGATAGGTTGTGTTTCAAACATCCAGGTAGTATATTTTACGTCTCCACCTGCAATGATTTCTTGATCTGCAATGCTTTTAATGTTGCTCAGTTCAGGAGATTCATCTTTGATTGAATCCAAAGGCTGGTTCTCAAAGACCCATCTCATAGACTGAACCTCTCCTTTTAAGATTTCATCCCATTCTAGGTATTCTCTCTCAGGGCTTATACACTTCTGAGAGCTATTACCAGTGTTTTCAAAGACATATCTAGTTTGCTGTACATCTCCTGACACAGAGCTGCCTATTTCAACCTTACTAGATACAACATCAGAAACTTCATTAAAATATTCTTTTTCTAAATTCTTTCTTAATTCTGGGTGAATATGTTTGTATAAACGTTTTAATTCATATAAATTTCTTTGCTTTGAATATAAATCTTTGGGGATTGTGGGCTTTGCTGGAGAGGTGGATGGTTCAGGGGACTGGGAAAACTCTTTCATTTCTGATGGCGCTTGTAGTATGTTTGGTGGTGGAGGAGGGGAAAACTCTTCTGTGCTTCCATATTTAGGGGAGTTGGTGTAAGCTGTAACAGCAGCAGCAGTTCCATATTCTGTTTTTCGTGTCCCAAGAGTTTCATGTACTCTACTTTCTGAAGCAGTGGCAGCAGAAGAGAAGCTCACTGCAGAAGGCCATACAATTTCTTGGAACTCATTTTCAATCTTTAGGGGACAAAATTAGTATTTTTAAGAAATCATTTCTAAGATCACAGCTTTTATTCATTCTATTCAAAGGGCTTAGTCCTGCAAGATGCTGAGAAATGGGATTGTAATGGGAGCTGAAGGGGCCCAGCACCTCCAGGAGTTGCTCAGAGCCTTGTAGAACTGAACCTAAAGGGAACATGCTGTTTTAACACAGCCTGCATAAGGAAGGTAATGCACTTCTTTCAAAGAGGTGCACAGTGATTTTGCAGCTTTGCTTTCTCTGCTGCAACCAATGCACATTGTATCATTTATCAGCAGATTATATTTGTTTCATTCATTGATGAAATTGATATTCTCTGCATTTACCTCTGATGAACCAATGTGTCTACCAAAAATTTTGAAGAAAAATAATAATTTTTTTTTACATGAGTCAAAGGAGAGAGAGAGAGAGAGAAGACTGCATGCAGCAGAGGAAGACAATGGAAAAACAAAGATTTTTTGTAAAAGCTTTACTTTATCATATAATATAAATATATTTGCTAGATTTACTTAATATAATTTTCATTACTTCTTATTTAACGTGTAAACAGTTTCCAAACCCACCCATGCTCCCATCATTTCCACAATGTTATATTTATTTTAAAAATCAACTAAACGATCAAAATATGACTATGCTGAGATTTGAGCAATTGCACAAAGGGCAATGTTTCAACATTCTGGCTAACCTGAACACTGCTAGTCTGCATATACCGAAATCCCACTTATTAAAAGCACAGACCTTAGTATGCTTTGCAGGTGTCACAGACTCCCTGTCTGAGAGAAGAGCCTTTTCCTGGGCTGTCTTTTCAAAGTGCTGTTTTAAAAACTGTGTTGAAATCTTTGGGATCTCTTCAGTCATAGTTTCATTGACTACTGCAATAAGAGAAGAAGAACAAAAGGGTTTTTCTAAGCCTAGTATTTTATTATAATTGTCTAACCGTGAGTTATTTTAAAAAAAGAGTTATTAAACTAAACCAATTGCACTCAACCTTGCAGAACTGTAGAATCACTCAGATGAAGACACAAAAAAACATAGAATAATTGCAGAGTAACATATCACATATTGTTTTGCAATGTGTAACTTGCGTTAATGTCAGGACTAGAGCTGGTTGAATACTGAAAAATCAGCTTCCATGAACATTATTCATATTGTGCAGAGCTGTTATTTCAACCATAATTTTACCCATTATTATTCACTATTTACAAAAATTTGCATAAATGGGTTTTTGTTTTAACAAATGTTAGGAGAATGGATTTTCTACATGGCCCCAAGTCAGTAGATCTTTTAACATGTGCTTAAAGTCCACCTCATTTGCAAAGCGCTTCAGCAGGTACTTAAATTAGCATGTGCTCCTTAAATCCCATCAAAGTCAATGGGTGTGTTTTGCTGAATAGAAATGGAATACTGGGCCCATATTCACCTGTGAACAATGGTATTTTTGTGCGAACAAGTGTATATGCTGTTTGTCATTTCTTAGTCTTTATTCTCCTGCTTAAAATCTTCCTGATTTTCTTACCTGTTTCATCAATATGTTGAGTGAAATTAGAAGCCTTGCTTGTCTGATGGGTAGATTGTTCAACATGAGAAACCTGTGGACAAAATTTTTATTTTAATATAGGATTTAGTGTAATATGTCTGTTTTCTATTTGCATGCAGACACACAGAACTAATGCTTTATGAAGGTAAAGTCTGAATGAAAACCCAACTAATTAACACATTGAAGCAACACTTATAAAACACCTATTTTTAAATGATTGCCTACCACAAAATCAGGGAAGTTTCCACTAGCACATCAAGATCTTGTTATACTAAGTGGTAACAGAGTTAAAAAGCAAAGCAAATATGTTGTCTCCATATCAGCATCTCTGTACAGTGGCCTAGTGACATAATTATTAATTGATACACTTAACCTCTTCTGTTTGAAAGGCTTCCAACTGAGTTCCTTTGGAGGTCACTTCATTCTGTTCAGCTTCTCTGCTGCTGCTTGATACCGTGAGCTGACTACTACGTGTCACCTCCTAAAGACAAATAAAAGTAATTACACATTAACAGTTTAATGATAAATTGAAAAACTTAGTGTTTACCTATGAATGGCTTTTCTCTAATGTTATCACTTAAACAGCATGGTTTGAAAAATATATTTTTTAGCAGGTTATCATTATTAATGCAGTTTGTCTGGATAAGAACTATAAACAACCAAAGACAGGCCTTGTTATATAATAGAACATATGTTGTAATTTCATTATTGCAGTCTGAGTTTGAGCTGCAGGTACTGAAGTTCCATGGATAAGCATAAGGTGCAAAGTGACGAGCAGAAGAGCATGGGAAGCTGAACCTGCTTTAATGAAGGTGACTCTACACAGCTGCTCAGTTACTCCTTATTAGTAGGAATCAGGCCAAAGACACTTTACAGTAAATTCTATAATTTTTTTGCATAAGAGATAGTGTACAAAGATGTGTGCACATGTAAATGCATTTGCACGTTTGTACGTGCACAAATGGAGGGTGTATAGGAACTTTCAGACTCATGCCGCCTTCTGTCTTAACAGAAGATCCAATGTAATATATGTGCTGCTTTTATATTTGAAAAGAAAGGCAATTGTGGTCTAATAGACTGAGCAAAGGGCTGAAAGTTTTGAGATATAGTTTTATATCTGTGTAAACTAAATTAATGTCTATGATGCCTATCATGGTGACAGTTACATTCAGTTTCATCCCAGATTCTGCCACTGACTTGCTTTCTGACCTAGTGCAAGTCACTTAACTTCTCTTTGCCTCATTTACCTATCTGGTAAACATTATTCTTTCCATTTTACAATCTTCATAAAGTGCTTTGAGACTTCCTGATGAAAAGCATTCTATAAGTACAAACTATTATTATTTATATCCATTTGCACAAGTTTTTCGAATATTTTGCGATCTATGCTTGACAAATCAACTCACCTATTTGTCTATATCGATTAGGAAAGTGCTTCGTAAAAGAGGGACTCACCCATTAGTTTCTGCTGAATCTAAGCTCCCAATTTAAAGGGAAAAAATGGTATGTAGTCCTTCTTCAGAGGAAACTCCCAAATGCCCAGTGAGAATACAAATCGAGGCCATGTTGTGTAACTGAGGCTGCAGATATGCAATCTGAAGAATAGAGAGCTATTGACTTCCTAAATCACCAAGCTTTGCACCTGCTTTCAGCCAAATAAGCCATGAGTGTAACAATTCCCTCCCCCGCCCCATGCACTCAGTCACTTTATGGCAATAGAGTCATTCCATGGCTATTACTCCTGCCTCGGGACCAAGGCACCTCCATGGAGCTGGCACCTACACGAGGGCATGTCGGGGGAATCTATGTAGTGGAAAATCCACTGATTGGCCCCCAAATCCCTGCTGCACAGTGGGCTGCCAGAAAACTTAGGCTCCATGGCAGAAAGGCTTCATGGATCCTCATCGTAGGCTTTATGACCTCCATCCACCAGGCAGTAACATTCTCTGATTAGGCTAAAAGAGGAATTAAAATATTGGTACAGGTAGAATAAATCTTCTGGCTAGTGACCCACTGGATGATTTAGTTGGTCACTAATCACATTTATCTTAGTCACTGCCATGCTTGAATTGTAAAAGTGCATGTAGGGTTTGGGGTGGGCAAGATGGGGATGTGATGGACATTACAGACTGAAGTGGGGCGGCTCCCCTACTCCAGTGGAAAAAGGGTTAAAGTCAGCCCTGGGAGAAGGTTGTGGCTGAGAGCTGCTAAGCTGGGCTGCTTGGGGAAGCTGCCACAGCTGGGCCATGCCCCAACCAGGCCACAGCTGGCCTGTATAAAAAGGCTGTGAGCCAGAGGCCCAAGAGAAGTCTCTCTCCAGGCTGGGAGAGAGCAGGGTCTGGCTGCCTGCAGAAAGGGTACTGGGAGTAAAGCAGGGCTGGGGAGAAAAAGAGGAGCAGGGGAGCTCCAGGCTGGCAACTCCCCAGGCTGTAGGGCCTGGTTCAAGGCCCACAGAGGTACTGGGAGGCAAAGGAAGGCAGCAGGTCCGAACCCCCTTGCCTCAGTCTGGGCTACTGCCAGTCATCACTAAGCCCCCGCTCCCTGGGGCAGACTGCAGTGTAAAAGCCACTCATAGAATCATAGAATATCAGGGTTGGAAGGGACCTCAGGAGGTCATCTAGTTCAACCCCCTGCTCAAAGCAGGACCAATTCCCAACTAAATCATCCCAGCCAGGGCTTTGTCAAGCCGGGCCTTAAAAACCTCCAAGGAAGGAGACTCCACCACCTCCCTAGGTAACGCATTTCAGTGCTTCACCACCCTCCTAGTGAAATAGTGTTTCCTAATATCCAACCTAGACCTCCCCCACTGCAACTTGAGACCATTGCTCCTTGTTCTGTCATCTGCCCCCACTGAGAACAGCCGAGCTCCATCCTCTTTGGAACCCCCCTTCAGGTAGTTGAAAGCAGCTATCAAATCCCCCCTCATTCTTCTCTTCTGGAGACTAAACAATCCCAGTTCCCTCAGCCTCTCCTCATAAGTCATGTGCTCCAGACCCCTAATCATTTTTGTTGCCCTCCGCTGGACTCTTTCCAATTTTTCCACATCTTTCTTGTAGTGTGGGGCCCAAAACTGGACACAGTACTCCAGATGAGGCCTCACCAATGTCGAATAAAGGGGAACGATCACGTTCCTCGATCTGCTGGTAATGCCCCTACTTATACAGTCCAAAATGCCGTTAGCCTTCTTGGCAACAAGAGCACACTGTTGACTCATATCCCGCTTCTCGTCCACTGTGACCCCTAGGTCCTTTTCTGCAGAACTGCTACCTAGCCATTCGGTCCCTAGTCTGTAGTAGTGCATGGAATTCTTCCGTCCTAAGTGCAGGACTCTGCACTTGTCCTTGTTGAACCTCATCAGGTTTTTTTTGACCCAATCCTCTAATTTGTCTAGATCCCGCTGTATCCGATCCCTACCCTCTAGTGTATCTACCACGCCTCCCAGTTTAGTGTCATCTGCAAACTTGCTGAGAGTGCAGTCCACACCATCCTCCAGATCGTTAATAAAAATATTAAACAAAACCGGCCCCAGGACCGACCCTTGGGGCCCTCCGCTTGAAACCGCCTCCCAACTAGACATGGAGCCATTGATCACTACCCGTTGAGCCCGACGATCTAGCCAGCTTTCTATCCACCTTACAGTCCATTCATCCAGCCCATACTTCTTTAACTTGGCGGCAAGAATACTGTGGGAGACCGTATCAAAAGCTTTGCTAAAGTCAAGGAATAACACATCCACTGCTTTCCCCTCATCCACAGAGCCAGTTATCTCATCATAGAAGGCAATTAGGTTAGTCAGGCACGACTTCCCCTTGGTGATTCCATGCTGACTGTTCCTGATCACTTTCCTCTCCTCTAAGTGTTTCATAATTGATTCCTTGAGGACCTGCTCCATGATTTTTCCAGGGACTGAGGTGAGGCTGACAGTCATCATACAGCAGTTTTGAGAGTTAGCTCCTCAGAAAGACAAAAAGGCTTCAGCGTTAGCTCCCCACAAAGCTGAAGGGAGGCAACTTGCAAAGATTTAGGGATCGATCCTACCGTCCACTCAAATAGTTATATTTTACATATATGTATGTATTCACACTTAGACATGGGTGTTTTAGATCTGTAAGTCAAGATCTCATTATTGAAAAAACTCATCATAAGATGCAAAATATGTTGATGTTTGTCATTATATGTTGTTTGAATTGTATAAAGGTATTAAAAAGGAATATAATTAAGCTTAATGTAGTCAGAAACCAAACCTAATCACAGAATCATTGCTGCAACTTTTATATCTGTTTATGAAGTAGCTACTATGTTGCTAAAAGTCACAATGGCATAAAATAATAGTCATAGCTATCTAAAGCTATAATTAACAGTACCTTAGTCAGCCTAAACATTAAGGACCAAATTTTGACCTTGTACTTACATGGCTATGGGTGGTGGAAGAGGAGGAGGGGCCTTCCTACCTTTATATGGCTTGCTTAAAAGCTGGGTGAAATTCCACTTGGGGAAGCATATGGGCTGCTACAGGGATGCTGCTCCTCAATCAGTCAAAAGGAGCAGGGAACAGATAGACCCCTGGTTCCACTCACCCCTCTGTACTGGCCACCAATATGTTGTCAGGGAGAGTATAATTCACCCCTTAAGGGGCTGTGCTCCACACACAAACACACTGGGAAGCATTCTACAGAATGCCATTCAGTGCTCCCCACTGTCCCCAGTGCACAGCTGCAGCTAAATCTAGTCCTAATATTAACACTGTCCCATTAGCCTGATTAGAGTTATGCCTGCAAAGAGAAGATGACTTCTTTGTCTGTCTTTCTGTGATGTACATTATTAAAATAATATTTTATTCACAGTGGCTAATCAGGGGTGGGCAAACTACGGTCTGCGGGCTGGATTCGGCCCGTCAGGGCTTTGGATCCGGCCCACGGGATTGCCCCCCGTGGCGCCGTGGGCCCCGCTCTGCTCTCAGAAGAGGCCGGCACCATGTCCCTGTGGCCTTCGGGCAGGGAGGCAGAAGGCTTGGTGCGTTGCCCTTGCCTCCAGGCCCCGCTTCCCGCAGCTCCCATTGGCTGGGAACAGGGAACCGCAGACAATGGGAGCTTCGGGGGAGGTACCTGGAGGCACGGCAAGGGCCGCGCACGCGGAGCCCTCCGCCCCCCACAGGGGCTGCAGCGCTTCCTGGAGCGGGGCCGGGGACAGGGCAGGCAGGCAGGGAGCCAGTCCTGGCCCTGGTGTGTGCCACTGCCACCCCGGAGCCCCTTTAGATAAGCGGCGCCAGGCTGGACCCCAAACCCCTCCTGCCCCCCGCCCCCTAACTCCCTGCCCTAAGCCCCCTGCCTGCACCTCGCACCCCTCCTGCACCCCAACTCCCTGCCCTGAGCCCCCTTGCACACCCTGCACCCCTGTGCACCCCAACCCCCTACCCTGAGCCCCCTCGTACACCCCACACCCCTCCTGCACCCCAACCCCCTGCCCTGATCCCCCTCATAC